GAGTTAGCAAATCCGGACAACTTGGTGAAGCCCATATGACTGAGGCTTGGGGGTCTACCCAACATACTGTAGCTATCTACTCTCTCAGGAAGAACCGGAGTGAAGAAAGCTGTGTTTCCCACTGTGGTTTGGGAGTTGAGCATGGCAAGGGGCAGGGAGTTGTCTCAAAAGTATCAGGGTTACCAGGATCTAAGTGTTCAGGGTGTCTGCGGAGTCCAGGAAGGTATCAGTGGTTGATGTTTATGTGAGGTGGCCACATGTGTGACCATGTCAGCCAGAGACTGCCCTCCACAGGATCAATAATCCTTTTGTAATTTTTTTAATTTAATTTTTTCCTGAGACAGGGATTCTTTGTGTATCTCTGGCTGTCCTGGAACTCGCTCTATAGACCTGACTGGCCTCTGAACTTACTATGTAGTTCAGGCTGGCCTCAAACCTGGAGATCTGTCTCTGCCTCTCGAATGTTGAGATTACAGGCATGTGTCACCACTGCCCAGCAAGATTAATAATCTTTAGCCCCCGCTTCAAATTTAAGATGCCCAGGATCTCCTGCGAGGATCTGTGAACTGGTGTGATTTGGGGCCCATGGTCTGACCCTTCTGTTCTGTCAGGCCCTGTACAGCAGGGTTGGTGGAGGCTTGCTGGCTGCCTAGGAGCTGTTTATTTTGGGCTAAGAGCCCTCCTCCCAGCTATATTTACCTTGTGAAGCTGCATGCAATCTAATCTGATGTGATCTCTCTGGGACAGGGCTGGGGCCCTGGATGTCAGCTGCTAGATTCTGCCAGGACTCCCCTGATGTACTCTTCCCACCCCGCGGGACAGATCCCTGGCGGGAGTCATTCTGGAAGAAGACCCTTAATGCCTGTGAATAGTTTTCTTTAGGGTTCATGATTGTACTAGCCACCCTTTCTTGTTCAGAGTCATTTTTTTTTCTTTTTGCTTTGTTTTATTACATTTTTCCAAGACAGAGTTTCTTTGTCTGGCCTTGGCTGTCCTAGAAGCCATTCTGTAGACCAGACTGGCCTTCACCTCAGAGATCCTCCTGCCTCTGCCTCCTTAGTATTGAGATTAAAGGCGTGGGCCACCACCAACCTGGCCAGAATCATCTCCTGTATGCAGCCCTGTGGCACTGAACTTGGTCTTATCTGGGGCAGCGGTGCAAACAGCCAGCCTGTGTGGTTGGATTTCCAGGAATGATAGAGGAGGGTAATAGGGTTTCTTCCGGAGCACAGCAGCAGGTCCTTCCTCTTCTGTGGAGAGCTCAGCTTTCCCTCAGCCCAGGGACGTGAGGATACCCAGACCATGTGTGCCTCGGCTGGGTTTTATGGTCCTGGTGATGCTGTCCTGCAGAGATGCTCCCTTGACCAGGTCTTGGGTGGTGTGCTTGCCCAGATGCCCACATTGGGAGCTAGTGTTGCCTGTATAGCTCAGAAAGAGCTGCACAGCCTGTGTGAGGAAGAGCGAGCAGGCCTGGAGCCCCTGAATGAGGAAGAGCATGCAGGCCCGGGGAGGTCACAGTCTCTTCTCCTTCCTCCACTTCTAGCTCCTTGTTTTTCTTTTTAACTAAGATTTATTGAGCTTCACCAGTAGCGGAGTCTGTGCTAAACATTTACACATCCAAACCTCATTTAACCTCAGTGGCCATGTGAAAAAAAACACACCATTATACACAGGCTTTAGAGTGAGTTCCCCTGCCCCCACCCTAGAGCTGGATAGCTGCCGTCCTATAACTGATCTCATTTCTGAGACTCGGTTTCCTTAATTTGAAATTGAGTAGTGAGTGAACAAGTATGTGGGTGAGTGTCTGTCTATGCATCTGTGTGTGTGTGTGTGTGTGTGTGTGTGTGTGTGTGTGTGTGTATGTGTGTGTATGGGACCCAAGGCCCTCACTACACTAGGCTAGCTAGCTCTTGCTGACCTACAACCTCTGCCCCCAGTGATAATCACTAATATGCTGGGCGGTGGGTGGTGGTGCACACCTTTGATTCCAGCACTTGGGAGGCAGAGGCAGGTGGATTTCTGAGTTCAAGGCCAGCCTGGTCTACAGAGTGAGTTCCAGGACATCCAGGGCTATACAGAGAAACCCTATCTTGAAAAGCCAAAAACAGACAAAAAAGAATCATCATTACTCTAAATACGTCATGTCCCCGATCTTGCTTAAAGAACATCTTAAGTTCATTAGGTCTGAAACTTCATAACTGTCATAAGTAGGCCTCCATTTTATGGATGCGAAAATTAGGGTACTGATGATTTTAGATACTTGCCTATGGGACACCAGCTTTGTAAAGTGAGGCAAGAGGACCACAAGTTCAAAGCCATCCTTAGTTACAGAATGAGTTTGAGGACAGGCCAAGCTACAGAAGACCCCGGTCATTAAAGGGGAAAAAAAAAAGCAAAATGACAGTAATTGCCTGGGACAGAGGTTGTGTTACCCCAAGCCAAAATACCTGCTGCGTGGGGGCACAGGAAAAGCAGTAAAAATGGCTTCTATCACTGCTTAGTTTAAAACCTTGACGTCACTTCCCAGGCTACCTGAAGTTCTCCAGATCTTACCCTCCTCCTTCCGAGAGGCAGACTCAGCTCAAGCAAAGCAGGTCAATAGTAGACTTAGCTCTTAAGCCAGAGCCAACCCAAGTCTCACTCTAGAGCTTTGGTCCAGAGCCAGCCCTCTCAGTTAGATGGACGAGTGACACTAGAGACAGAGCAGAGAAGGAGCCACGCTCCTGGGGAAAGGAGTGGACGGCTGCGTTAAAACAGTCCAGTTAACATATCCCTAAGCCTTTTCAGAACATTTCAACCAGGCTTAAAGGCTTTTGCCTACGAATTGCCACAGCCACCAAGAGTGAGGATACTTCAGCTTGAGAATTTACAAAATGGTTCAAGTTCATATAAATTTGGGGCACTGCCATGAGAATTTTGACTGTTGTTTAAGATTTCCCTGGTGGCCTAACGCCAACCCTGAGAATTCTTCTGAGCCCATGCGGGCAAGGGAGCGGGGAGCTCAGCACATGCGGGTAAGGGACACAGGACAGCAAAGGCATGGCACATCTGAGGCACTCCCCGCCCCCTGCAGCCTAGAGAAGCTGGGTACCCTCAGCAGGAGCACCTCCTGCCCCCATTCTTCTTCCTGTTTTGACCTTCTGTCCCAGAACCTGAAACCTGAGAAAAGACAAGCCAGAGAGCTTGGTGGAGCTGCCCTGGTCCACTTGCTCACATCCACTGGGGTGAAGGCCAGTGTGCGGGGCTGGTCTGTGGGTCGGATGCTGGGGGTGTTTATGGGTGGGTTTGTGTACGTCCCTGCATCCCAGTGACCTCCAAGTGACATACTGTTCCCTCCGTAGAACTTTAAGCACACAGAGCCACATTGCAAAGCTGAAGGTAAAACCTGTATACTGCTTTTTCTGTGCCCCCATGCAGCAGGTATTTTGGCTTGGAGTAACATAACCTTCATCCCAGGCAATTACTAACATTTTGCTTCCCCCCCCCTTTAATGACCGGGGTCTCATGTAGCTTGGCCTGTCCTTGAACTCATTCTGTAGCTAAGGATGGCTTTGAACTTGTCACCCTCTTGCCTCTTCTTTCCCAGTGCTGAGATGACAGGCATGAACCACCACACATAGTTATTGTCAGTGTTGGGGGCTTCACACATGGGAGATACACATTCTGTCCACCTAGGTACAGTCCCCAGCCTCACTTAATGGTCATGTCTCTTCCCCTGTTTCTTTGGTGCCCTTGATCCTCCAGCCCACATGAGTGGACCCTGGCAATGTCCCCAATTGCCTGCTGCTCCTGGCAGAATTCTGATGAGTTAGCTCCTTTGTATGAGGGTGATTTTCGAGACCCAAGTGTAAAAAGCAGGTGGCAGGTCCAGATTATGCCCTCAGTGACCCCAAATCCTCAAGTCTCCAGGAACTGGGGAGCAGCCAGTGTGTGAGCCCTGGGGCTGGAGGAGGAGATGCCTTGGGGCTCGCTGGCGCCCAGCCAGCCAAGATACAGGCGCTGGGTTGAGTGTCTGTTCTGAGAAGCCTCTCTCAGTTCCCTGTTGGCCTGTGCACTCTGTTCTCAGAATGGATCTGGACGTGACGTGGGAAGGTCTTCACTTCTCCAACCTATTGTCCTCAGAGTGGGACAGGAAACTGAGTTCTGTGTAGGTACAAAAGTGTGAGACAGATAGGGATAGTGGTTGGTAGTTTATTTGTAATTGTTTTGGTTTGGGTTTTGGTTTTTCCAGTGTTTCTCTGGGTTGACCTGGCTGTTCAGGATCTTACTCTGTAGACCTGACTGGCCTCGAACTCAGAGATCCACCTGCCTCTGCCTCTTGAGTGCTGGGATTAAAAGGCGTGCACCACCACCAGTTGGTAGTTGATTTTGTTAAAAAATTTTAATGTAGTTTAAATTTTTCTTGGTCTGGAGAGAGAGAGCAAGTAAAGGTGCCTACTGCCAAAATTGACATTCTGAGTTTGATCCCCAGGACTCTCTCGGTAGAAGGAAAGAACGGCCTCCCAAGGCAGAGGCAAGTAGATCTCTGAGTTCAAGGCCAGCCTGGTCTACAGAGCTAGTTCCAGGATGACCAGGCAAGGCTTCACAGAGAGACCCTGTCTTGAGGAAAAAAAAAAATTACAGCATGCATAATACCCTTAACTCTACTGCCTACACTATTTATGATTGACAGTGCAGTGTTCCCAATGGTAAGATAGTTACTGTACACCGGGAACTCTCATTTGTTAAAATAATTCTGTGAGTTAATGGGTCATACCTATTTTCTCTATATATGGTAAGGCTGGGCGACACTAACTTCCAAAGGACACACCTGATAGATTCACGCTTGCTTTCCTCATATATATGTGTGTATATACACATGTATATATGCTACTTCACAACCCAGAGAGGGCGAGGTTTAGCATTCCCAGAGACTGAGACTCAGAGGCCAAATGGCCGATCAGATGGGAAGAGGAATAGGATTTGAGCGAGCCGTTCACTTCCCTGTTCCCCTCTCCTAGGTAGCGATGGTGGAAGTGCAGCTGGATACAGACCATGACTATCCACCAGGGTTGCTCATTGTCTTCAGTGCCTGCACCACAGTGCTGGTGGCCGTGCACCTGTTTGCCCTCATGATCAGCACCTGCATCCTGCCCAACATCGAGGCTGTAAGCAATGTCCACAACCTCAACTCGGTCAAAGAGTCGCCCCACGAGCGCATGCACCGCCACATCGAGCTGGCCTGGGCCTTCTCCACCGTCATCGGGACGCTGCTTTTCCTGGCTGAGGTCGTGCTGCTCTGCTGGGTCAAGTTCTTACCGCTCAAGAGGCAGGCGGGACAGCCAAGCCCCACCAAGCTTCCCCCTGAATCGCCTGTCAATGTCAACAACAGCGACAGTGGTGGTGGTGGTGGCATCACCCCGGGTGAGGCGGCAGCCATCGCCTCCACAGCCATCATGGTCCCCTGCGGCCTGGTTTTTATCGTCTTTGCAGTTCACTTCTACCGCTCGCTGGTCAGCCATAAGACGGACCGACAGTTCCAGGAGCTCAACGAGCTGGCCGAGTTTGCCCGCTTGCAAGACCAGCTGGACCACAGAGGGGACCATTCTCTAACACCGGGCACCCACTATGCCTAAGTCCTCACCTCCTCACTGGCCCTTTGAGGCCTTGGCCTTAAGCCCCTCCCCATGACCTTGTCCTGGCCCAGTCTGGAGGACGGCCTGTGCAGGCGGCTGGCTTCACCAGGGCAGAGTGTGTGACAGGAAGAGGCTTTTAAAAAAAAAAAAGTCGCTGCACTTCGAGATTTTCTTCTGTGAGACTAAGCACTCCCTGTTTTTCCAGCTCTCCGTCCCCCTCCTGGTGGGGAGTGGGGGGGTGGAGTGGGGACAGTTGCTCTCTTTGTCCCTTCTCCCCTGCACCAGTGCCACCCGGATGCTTCCTGTCCTGACCTCAACCTCCTTACTTGTTGGCCTTGTGTGTGTGTGTGTGCGTGTGCGCGCGCGGACGCCTACACACAGAGGAAAATCTCGTGTGCATGTCTCTCCTCTCTGCCTGTGTGTACACGTGTGTGCGTGTGTATACTCATGCGCACTTGTATACACATAAAATATATTCACAAGGGACACCTCTTCTTCGTGTCTGTGTTTGTTGGGTCTGGACTACCTGATAGGATGCCCCAGTCAGGGGAGTCACTACACAGGCTTTTTAAACATTGAGAAGGGGGGCTGGTGAGATGGCTCAGCAGTGAAGAACGCTGACTGCTCTTCCAGAGGTTCAATTCCCAGCAACCACATGGTGGCTCACAACCATCTGTCATGGGATCCGATGCCGCCTTCGGGTGTGTCTGAAGACAGCTATAATATATTCATATAAATAAAACAAAAAAAAAATGAGAGGCCGGGCGGTGGTGGCACACGCCTTTAATCCCAGCACTTGGGAGGCAGAGGCAGGCGGATTTCTCAATTCGAGGCCAGCCTGGTCTACAGAGTGAGTTCCAGGACAGCCAGGGCTACACAGAGAAACCCTGTCTCAAAAAATTAAAAAAAAAAAAAAATGAGAGGAAGTGTCTCAAGGACAAAACCAACCTGTCATGGTCAAAGCCCTGGGATCAGTCCAACAACTCTACAAAAACTGTGCTGCTGGGGATAGAACCCAGGAATTTGACAAGTTACTCTCCCACTAAGTTCCACTCCTCTGCTTGGAAAATTTCTATTCAAAAGAAACCTTCAGGGATGGTAATTAAAATGTGGACCTAGTTGTTTCCTTTGGAGGTAGTTACAGTCTACAAAGTCCCCCCAGAAGACCAGAAACGGGTGTGTACATACTGAGCCACTGTTAGTAGGAGAAATTCAAGGATAGGTTCCTGCAAACCTGTAGTCACAATATTTTTTTATGTGATTAAGACATTGTGTTGTATTAGGTGTCATTGAATTTAAGGACTGCATCTATTGTAGGGTAGTAGAGATAGATGCCTTGGTATTTAAGAGCATTTGGATGCTCTTCCAGAAGAGCCAGGTTTCATACCTAATATCCCAGTTGCAGCCCGTCTGTAACTTCAGAGCCAGGCGATCCAATGGCCTTTATGATTATTAGGCATGCATGTGGTTTGCAGAAACAGACATGGCTTTTTTTTCCCTTGGCGGGGTGGGGATGGGGGGGGGGCGGTTGAGACAGGGTTTCCCTGTAGTTCTGTCTTGGGAACTTACTCTGTAAACCAGGCTGGCCTCAGACTTACACAAAATCAACTCTCAAGTGCAGAAATTAAAAGCGTGCACCACCACCACCTGGCCACATTAAAAAAATTTTTTTTAAGAATGCTATATTGGGAGCCGGGCGGTGGTGGCGCACGCCTTTAATCCCAGTACTTGGGAGGCAGAGGCAGGTGGATTTCTGAGTTCGAGGCCAGCCTGGTCTACAGAGTGAGTTCCAGGTCAGCCAGGGCTATAAAGAGAAACCCTGTCTCGAAAAACCAAAAAAAAAAAAAAGCTATATTGGGACTGGAGAGGTGGCTCAGTGGTTAAAAGCACATACTGCTAAGTTCAGTTTTGAGTGCCCAAATCAGGCAACTCAGAACTGCCCATAACTCCAGTTCCAGGACACCCATTGCTATCTTCTGGCCTCGAGGGTACTGCACACATGTGGCATACGTACATATATTCATACACACACAAAATCCTTTTTAGAACAACTTGAGATCGGAGAGATAGCTCAGTGGTCAAGAGCACTTGCCGCTTTTCGTGAAAACCTGAATTCAGTTCCCAGTGTCCACGTAAGGCAGCCTGTAATTCCAGCTGCAGGGGATCTGACAGCCTTGTCTGGCTTCACTGGGCACCAGCACACACATGATGGATGTATGCTCGCACCAACACACAGGTAATCCTTGTTATCTTAAGCAGGACCTTCTAAGACTAAGGATATTACGTTACATAGCCACAACTCTTGAGAACAGGATTTTATGTAGCCCAGGCTGGCCTTGGTCTTTCAGGAACATCCACCTCCCACGGGTTGGAATAACAATGGTGCTACACATCCACTTGATTAGGTGCTAGGAGTTAAATCAAGGGCTACTACTTCTATGCTAGGCAAGGGCTCTGTACTGCCTAAATCGCCACCCCAAATTTAGGAAATTGAATTTTGTGTACTGAAGTCAGCATCTGATAACTCTTGGTCAGCTTCCTCCTTGCCCTGGGAACGCCCCTGATAAGCAAGCCCTTTCCTCCATTTGTAGAAATGAGTCGTCGCCTTTTTGTCTCCTTTGATTTGGGACAGTCACATGGCTTTTGTTGTTTCAAATATGAACCTTTGGAGGTTTTATTAAGAATAATGAATGTAGGGCTGGAGAGATGGCTCAGTGGTTAAGAGCACTGACTGCACTTCCAGAGGTCCTGAGCTCAAATCCCAGCAACCACGTGGTGGCTCACAACCATCTGTAATAAGATCTGATGCCCTCTTCTGGTGTGTCTGAAGACAGCTACAGTGTATTCATATATAATAAATAAATAAATCTTAAAAAAAAATGATGAATGTAACCCAGGCTAGCCTCAAACTTGCTAGGTAGTAGAGGATTACCTTGAACTGCAAGACTCCTCCCAACTCCCAAATTCTGGGCTTACGGGTACACACTGCCATACCAAGTGTCTTACAGAACTAAAGACCAACTTCAGAGCCACCGGAATGCTGCCCAGGCTCTCTCTGAACTGAGCCACCATCCCCACCGTATCATCATTTTTATCATGTGGATTGTGCATGCCTGCATGACTGTGTATCGCACACATATTCGGTGCCGCTGATGGCCAGAAGAGGGCGCAGTATCACCTGACAACTGGACTTCCAGGTGGTTGTTAGCTACTGTGTAGGTGCTGGGAACAAAACTAGGGTCTTCTGTGGGAGCAGCCAGTGCTTTTATCCCTGAGCCATCTGTCCAGCCCAGATATTAACATTTTTATTTTTTCCTAAAGCCATCAGACCTATGGTTTTACAGAATGCCATGTAGTTTTAGCTTCTCTGGAGATGTTTTTTTCATGGTTATAATCAGATTGTGTATTTTGGCAGGAAATACCCTCGAGGGTGTCAATACAATTGAAACAACAAAATTAGGACTAGTTAGCCAGTGTGTGTGTGTTGGGGGAGGGGGAGCTCATTTGTCCCTCCCATACTCCTCTCAGGATGTCAATCATCACTATGCAGCAGACAGAGTTGATGCACACGAAAGTTAAAGGTAGCAGGCCTCTGTGTCACATGACCAGATAGGCAAAAAAAAAAAAAAAAAAAAAAGGCAATTTAGAGGATTTATGGATTTATCGTGGTTAATGGTCTCAGGGATGTTACATCATCGTGATGGAGAGGGTATGAGGGTAGAAACGTGTGGTGGCAGCCAAGAGTCAAACAAAGGGATGTAGGAAATTACCATAGCAAGATACTGTGACCTCCTGGTCAAGCCCCACCCCCCACATATCATCACCTCCCAATAATACTGGCCTGTGAGCCACAGAGGAATGACTCCCTGCCATCGATTAGGTCAGAGACCTTGTGAGCTAATCGCCTTTGGAAATGCTCGCACAGTCCTGGAGGTGCTTTATTAATCCCTGGGGCTTTTCCTAATCCAGTCAAGTTGACAGTGAAGATTAACTCTCACCAGTAACTTGCTAGGATGCAAACCTGGAAGGCGGCTCAGAGCCCAGGGCCTCGAAAGACTCTTCCCTGGGTGGATTCTGGCATTGCTGGAAGAATAAGAAATTCCAGAGGCACTGGGCCTACCTTGCAGACCTCCAGTGAGCAGGTACCATGCATGACCCAGGGCCTATCTTTGCCACACTTCCCCCCACTCTCTCTTGTCTCACACCAGGTCACTTTGAACTACTTCCCTTGAAAGATTGGTCAAGATGGCTCAGCAGATAAAGGAACCTGCCCCAAAGCCTGGCGGCCCAGCACTCTAGATGCAGGCAGATCTCTGAGTTCAAAGCCAGCCTGTTTTACAGAATGTTTTACAGTGCTACACCCGAAGTTTGACACCACCTGGTTTCCCAGAACCTTCATGATAGGTAGAGAGAGTCAGTTATTACTTGTCCTCTGTGTGCCACATGTGAAACGTGGAACTTGTACACACACTCGCGCGCGTGCGCGCGCACAAACACACACACAGTAAATGTCAGCCCATGAGCTGCTGATTTGGGCTGACATGCTGATCTCTGGAATCTATTTCTAACAAGTTCCCAGGCAACTTGAGCAAATACCCCTCAAGAACCCAGTCTCAGCCCAGGGGTACCTCAGTGGTAGAGCATTTGCTTCGCCTACACCAGGCTTTGTATGCTACACCCAGCACCAAAACAGGCAAAGGGCAGTCTCTCGGCTTTGGCATTACTTTTTATTTTGGATACACGAGATTACCTTTTTACTTGCTTCCATTTTTCAACAGTAAAATGTTGTTCTCCATCCCCGTCCCCAGTTGTTGTCTCCAGAAGTGACTACTGTTGCCATTTTATCACTTTTATAAATAGACAAGGGAATCTCTCATTCCCCATCCTTTTGTGGAGCAGGGTAACTCTGTAGACCAGGCTGAAGAGATCTGCCTGCCTTGGCCTCCCAAGTGCTAGGATGAGAGGTGTGCACCACCATACCTAGTAACAGTCCACACATACACTTCCACTCCCTAAGAATATAGAGGCCTGGGTGTTAGTAATCTGTTAAACTCCACCTCCACAGTCACCTGGCAACAGCCAGGTATGCTCCACCCCACAGTTACCTGGCAACAGGCAGGTAACCCTGCCCACTATAAAAGGGGCTGCTTGGCCCCTCCTCTCTCTCTTGGCTTCTCAACCCAGCACCTGCAGGTTGTCCTCTCCCCTCCCCCCTTCCCTTCCCCCTCTCTCCACATGGTCATGGCTGGCCTCTACTCTCTACTTCTCTCTCCTCTTGCTCTCCCATTCTCTTAATAAACCTCCCCTCGTGGAACCGTCTTGGCCTGTTGTGATCCATCCAAGTTGCGCGTGAAATCCTTTTACTGGGCTGGATAGATGGCTCAGCAGTTCAGAGCACTTGCCATTCTGCCAGAGGACCCTGTCTTGATTCCCTGCACCCATGTGGCAGCTCACACTTGTCTATAACATCTTCTTGGGCACCAGACATGCACGTGGTGCACAGACGTGCATGCAGACAAAACATCCAAACACACAAAAAAAATTTAAAAGAATATATAGATCTAAGATCAGGTTAAGGATTAGCCTGGAGACTTCTGAACCAGTTTCCTCTAAAACAGCAGAGAGAATAGTAGGCTACCACACGGGTTACGGAGTCACAGGAGAGGCAACTGAAACTGTCCCCAGGGCCTGGCACTGAGTTAGCACTCAGCACCTGCGGTTATGCTGATCCTGCATCTACAGATGGCACCATACACTCCGAAGCAGGCCACCACACTTGGGAGTTTAGGCGCAGAGAAAACCTCATAGTGTGAGCGTTATTGTCTTGGTGAGGCTGTCCTTTGTACTCGCTCCTGAGGCCTGGCTGCGGTCAAACCCTTTGGGTCTCTTCTCTCCACCTCCAGAATGCTGAGATTATAGGTGTGATGATCCACCGTGCCTCACTAAGTTGGGGTGTTCGCTGAGAGCTTTATGGACAGACTTGGAATCGAATCATTCCTTTGTAGCCTGTTTACACGGTAGGACATTTGAGTCTGGCATAGTAGTTGCAGGCCTTTAGTTCTCAGGGGGCAGAGGCAGGTAGATCTCTGTAAGTTCGAGACCAGCCTGGTCTATATAGTGAGCTCCAAGACAGCCAGGGCTACACAGTGAGACCCTATCTCAAAAAAAGAAAAAAAAAAGAAAAAAACAACAAAAAAAAACAAAACTGCTGGGCAGTGGTGGCGCACGCCTTTAATCCCAGCACTTGGGAGGCAGAGGCAGGTGTATTTCTGAGTTTGAGGCCAGCCTGGTCTACAGAGTGAGTTCCAGGACAGCCAGAACTACAAAGAGAAACAACCCTGTCTCGAAAAACCAAAAAAAAAAAAAAAACAAAACAAAACAAAAAAAACCCACTAAACCGCTGGGCGGTGGTGGCGCACGCCTTTAATCCCAGCACTTGGGAGGCAGAGGCAGGCGGATTTCTGAGTTCGAGAGTTCGATACTAGCCTGGTCTACAGAGTGAGTTCCAGGACAGTCAGGGCTACACGGAGAAACCCTGTCTCCAAAAACCAACCAAACAAACAAACAAAAAAAAAAAAAACCACTAAACCAAAACAAAAAGCATTATAGCATGTTCCTTGCTCTAGAGGATGCTCTAAGAGACAGTAGCATTCATCTTTGTCCATCGAGAGAATCGTGTCTTCAGGCATTACCAAATGTCTGTAAGTAACTGGGGGAGAGCAAAAATTCTAGCTGCTTTTAAAGTACTGTCTGCTTTTTCTTTCTTCTCCTAGACGGGGTTTCTCTGTGTAGCTCTGTGTGTTCTGGAAATTGGTCTGTAGACTAGACTGGACTTGAATTCAGTGATCCTCCTGCCTCTGCCTCCCGAGTGCTGGGATTAAAGGCATGCACCACCACCTGGCTACCATTGTCTTTTTTTTTTTTTTCTTTTAAGACAAGATTTCACTACGAACCCCCTCCTCATTGTATAGACCAGGCTGGCCCTCAGGCTCAGAGATCTACCTGCCTCTGCTTCCCGAGTGCCTGTATTTAAGGCACGAGCCACCATGACTGCCCTGGATGCTCATAGTTTTTAAAGATTCCTCGGAATTCTTGGTTTAGGCTAAGGAGGTGAGGACCTGTTTAAATCTCAAATCTTGGTAGCCACTGTGGCAGAGTGCAGGCTCACTGTCCTCTCTGGGTTAGCTCAGAGGCAGAAAGCCACTTCCTTGCTCCTCTGCCTTGCACCCTCAAGTCCCCCCTGACACACACACGAGGGGAGAAATCCACGCAGTTTGGTGAAGCTATCTTTCTTCTCCCACAGACCCCGCCCACCCCTGCTCAAGCTATAGGACCTTAGATTAAGGCCACCACGTTCTTTATTTTCATGCACTCTGATATAAAGCCATAGGAGCAAAGGCTTTAAGCAAGTGGGTCCCCAAGACCAGCCAGGGAGAAGCAATACCCCACCTCTACTGGTAAAAATAACCTAGTGCCTGGGGGAGCGGGTACCCTCCAAGGGAGCCAAGGGCATGCCCAGAGTTGCCGCCTGCTCCTCCGGCAGGAGCTGCACCGGTCTGAGCAGTTTGGTGACAAGGGCTGGATTTTCTCCTGAGCCTTGATTCGATCTCTGCACGGGTGGGGATGATGTTGGAGTTAGGATTAGAAACACAACCACCCCACCGACACCTTCGCCATAAAGCTTTACAGCTACCCCCAGGACAAGGTCCCACAGCCTCCTCCGACATCCTTTAGAAGGGACAAACCGCCTGACTGCAGCTCAGTGCCCACCCCAGGAGGCTAAGAACACAACTGAGGCAAACTAGGCAGGACTGGAATGCACTGGGTTTTCTAAGAACAAGTGTTTCAAAGAGGAGTAACCAAAAAAAAAGAAAAGAAAAGCTGGACTATAGGAGGCAAGAAATTTGCCTTCTCCGGTCCTGCCCTGAGCCCATTAGTGATACCCGAAGATCAGCGTTGTTCGGGACTCAGAGAGGCTTTGGCTTCATCGGAGATGGCAGACAGCTGTGCCTTCTCACCTCACCTCAGTCGTCTTCTTCCTCAGGCTTCATCAGCTTATCCATCGCTTCCTTCAGCACACCATCTGGGTCTAGAATCTCCACCTGGAGGGAAGAGGGGTGTGTGTGTGTGGGGGGGGACTGGTTTGTTGGTATAAACAGCATGGAAGGCCCCCAAGCTTCCTTGCTAGAGATACTTGAAAACAAAACCTCATCTCTAGCCCCTTGACACGTGGGGCTATGGATGCTGGATTCTGTCTCTGGTTTCAGGGCCCCAGGAGGACTGACTACCCACCTTAGGAATGGGGAACTGGGTGGGTTCAGGGGCCTCATCACGGCCAAAGTCGATCATGGTACCACACTTGGCCACGTTGTCCACCCAGAAGCCTTCAAACAGCTGACCATGGTCCAGGTGGAAGAAACGCCCATGCCCGTTCTTCATGCCTCTCTCCCAGCCGCCCTCATACCGGTTCCCGTTCTCTAGACAGGAAAGCATGGGTGCTAGGCACAGGGAAGCAGCTAGGACATCCAGGTTGGTCCCAGCTGCTGACCAGTGTGCACTACCTATCTGAGAGTCATTAAGCACACAGCAGGAGATGCAGCGTTTTATAAGCATCATCAACGTCACTTAACTTCAACCACTTCCAGAGAGTTTATTTTGCCCGTTATGGCGGCACACACCTATGATCACTCAGAAAGCAGAGGTAAGTGAATCCCTGAGTTCAAGCCCATCCTTGCCTACCAAGAGAGTTCCAGGGCTACACAGAGAAAACCTGTGGAGAGTAGAGGGAAGAAGAAGGAGGAGAGGGAGGGAGAGGAAGGAGGAGGAGGAGGAGGGGGAGGGGGAGGGGGAGGGGAGGGGGAGGGGGAAGGAGTGATCTGATTTTATTTTTTGATGTTGGAGCCAGAACCTGGCGCATGCTCACTCTCAGCAGTTCCTCGGCCTCTGGGTTACGGCTCTAACTCTGGTTTGTGGTGTGAGTTTTTGTTGTTATTTTGTTACTTTGTTTTGCTCTGTAGGGCAAGAAACTTGGAGCGTGCTAGGCAACTGCTCCACACCCCCGGGCCTTGGCCTGAAATCCCCTATGTAAACCAAGAATTCAGAGCTCTACCTGCCTCTGCTTCCCAAGTATTGTGATTAAAGCTATGTACGTTTTATTTTTTTGAGACAGCATTTCGCCTCCTAGCTAAGAGAGGCTGGGCTCTAAGTCGAAGCAAAGCTGCTGATCCCAAGTGTTAGGGACCCTGCTCACCTCCCGTTTTTATTTATTTATTTTAGTGTCTTTGTGTTAAATACAGGCACTTGTATGCCACGGTGCATGTGTAATACACATGTGGGGGTAACAGGACAACTCTGGGGAATCAGTTCTCTCTTCCTACCTTGTGGGATCCAGGATCAAACTGAGATGGTCAGGCCTGTGTGCAAGCGCCATTACCCACTGAGCCAACTTACAGGCCCTCTCATTAAAAAAAAAAAAAATAATAATAATAAAATAAACAGCCATTCGTTAACCACAAGGAAACTGAAGAAAATTCCCTGGGGTCCCAGAACTAGTACCGGCTCACACCAGGATCTGAAATCATGCACACTTGCCCCGAGTCCAGGCCTTGAGAAGCTCCTGGAACATTTGCTCTGCTTAGCTTATGCATAGTGGAAGCTCGCTGAAGGCAGGCTCCTGGCTCAGTATTGAGACCACAAGACAGACAGACAGACAGACAGACAGACTGACCGCTTCTGCCCTCCCAGCTGATCCAGGGCCTCAGCTTAGTTGGATGTCGTTGAAAGTCAGAATCTCACATTTTCAGGGCCAACAAGACTGGTATTTATGGGACAAGTAATATAGCTGGTGGGGCACCGAGTCTGGGTCGCCAACTTTCCGGGATTGGGCGGGGCCAGGAAGCCATGGGGCGTGGTGTTAGGGGGCGGGACACTCACTCTGGCGCAACATGCCCTCCCCGTCAGGCTTGTCGTTCTTCCAGTGGCCCTCGTAGATGTCTCCGTTGTTGTAGTACATGCGTCCCCACCCGCTGCGTTGGTTGCTACACCACTCACCCTCGTAATACTCCTTGGGTCCGAAAAACTGGATCCCATAGCCCTGAAAGCAGGAAGGTGTCCCACTATTTGCCAAGTCTCACACCTGAGTCTCCTCTTGTCGCCGGTTTTCCTAGCAGAGGGTCAAAGAATTCTAGCTGCATATTTCAGTTAATTTCGTGCACCGCCTTCATACCGCCCGCATAATTTCTCTTCTCTGGTTCCCCTTATCTCTAGCCCCACTTCTATATACCCTTTATGCTTCTATATACAGCCACCAGAAGGATATTTTATACCCGGTAGGATCGATCGCCCACCCAAATCTGATTACGTTCAGTCTCTACTCAGGTGACTACTGAGAAACATGAAGGTTACATTTGGAGACCAACCGTAGGAAATCAGAGACCACTGGAGATCCCCGCTCAAAATGACTTGGTTAAGTAGCATAAGTCTGTACCTCAAAATCCCAATGCCATTTTTCACTATTCTCTTTCCCTCCCCCAGGGCAAATAAGACCTGATGTTTGTTATCTTTGTTATTTCTTCCTACCACTTCATGTCTACCTGGCTAGCTCCTTGCTGCTTTGGATATGACCTCCTGCCCTGAATTTTCTAGGTTAGATTACATGATCTTCCAGCCACCGGGAAAACACTGTTAATTCTCCATTAAAGGCAAATCTTTTGTTTTAGGCTCAGTCTTCTCACCAGGAGCAGAGAACATGAAATCTTGGGCTCTGCTAGCTGTGTCACCAACCCCAGGCTAGGTGCGTCACCTCCCTGAACTTGTTCCTTAGTAAACTGAAAGTCTGATAATGACAAGGCTTTTACAAGAATATAAGAGTTCAAATACAGGCAGGCAGATTTCTGAGTTCGAGGCCAGCCTGGTCTACAGAGTGAGTTCCAGGACAGCCAGGGCTACACAGAGACACCCTGTCTCGAAAAACAAAAAAACAAAACAAGAGTTCAAATACTATATATAGTAACTGTTCAATAGCAACACTGTTATAATTTTCAGACTCCGGGCTGGAGAGATGGCTCAGAGGTTAAGAGCACCCTCTATTCTTCCAGAGGTCCTGAGTTCAATTCCCAGCAACTATATGGCGGCTCACAACCGTCTGTAATGAGATCTGATGTCCTCCTCTGGAGTGTCTGAAGACAGCGACAGTGTATTCACATACATAAAATAAATCCTTAAAAAAGATAATTATCAGACTTCATGGCTTATAGCAAGGATCAATTGTTTGTTTTTAAATGTCTGCAGTAGAATGAATATTTGTGGAATTTCCTCTGGCTAGCTTGTCCCCCCCCCACACACACACACCCCTTCTTCCTCCCTTGTCCTTGCTCCCTGTTTTCTGTTAGGGTCTTTCTCTATGTAACCCAGACTGGCCTCAAATTCACTCTTCTCCTGCCTCCACCTTCAGGATGCTGAGATCCCAGCTCTGCATCTCCACGCCCTGCTTCCTAGCCTCCCATCTGCCTCGGGCCAGCAGGAGGAGGAGAATTCTCAGAATGGGGTACCGGGAGAAGAAAGCCAGGAAACAAGGGGGAAGAGGGTGGAGGAGACCTCTTCTGCTGCCTCCTTGAAGCCATAGAGTTTTTAAAGTGTTCCTCCCTGGGGCCCCCACTTCTCTTGCTTCCTGTTTTCTTGGTTTTGTTTTAAAAAAGCACTACAGTTCCTCCACCTCTTCCTTCTCCCACCCACCAAACCACTGGGTCTAGGCCCACCTTCTCACTCTGAGGGTGCGCTCTCTCTCTCTCTCTCTCTCTCTCCCTCTCTCTCTCTCTCTCTCTCTCTCTCTCTCTCTCTCTCTCTCACACACACACACACACACACACACACACATACACACACACACACACACACACACACACACACACACAACCTGGCTCTTACCCTCGCCTACAAACAAGGCATACTGGGAAAGCACTCACCGATTTCTTATCGCCTTTCCACCAGCCTGAATACACTCTCCTGAGCTTTCCAGTCTCTGGGTCAGGATGACTGAGGACGCCATAACCGTCTCGCTTCCCAAACTTCCAGTCCCCTTCATAGACAGCTCCACTCCGCTTCCAGACCTGTGTTCCTTTCCCTGGTGACACACAGATGGGCCAACACTGCAGACAGCTGCCACCCAGAAGCTGGAAGCCATATACTAACTAGTTCAGACCTCAGGGACCTCCGCCCTGAACAGTTTCTTCAGAATAGGGTCTGTGCCTCATCTTTAGACTGTAAGCATGCAGAAGAAAGGAAAGTTCCATGTCTAAAAACAGTGATTCTCCTGACCATTGTTTAACAGCCGGACTGATATGACAAACCTTAAGTAAAGGTGAGGCTGAGGCAGGAGGATGGTGAGTTCCAGTCTAGCATGGACAATGTCTAGAGACTCTGTCTTAAAAAGGGGCCAGGAAATGGTGTGATGGCATAGGTTCAATTCCCAGCAATGAAACAAAGGGGGAAAAAAAAATCCTGCCCTTTACAACATGGATGAACAAGAAGGACATTAATCCCAGCACTTGGGAGGCAGAGGTAGACAGATTTCTGAGTTTGAGGCCAGCCTGGTCTACAGAGTGAGTTCCAGGACGGCCAGGGCTACACAGAGAAACCCTGTCTCAAAAGACAAAAAAAAAAAAAAAAAAACACAGAAAGCCCAGCACCATGTGATACCACTTTAACATGGGGAAATCAGTGTCATAGAAAGAGAGAGACCAAAATGATGGGTGCCAGCAACTGGGAAGAGAGAGAGAGGGAGATGTGGGCCAAAGGTGACTACATTTTTGAGGACAGCGTTCTGATTATAGTTGATAACTAAGCAAGTCAGGACTGGAGAGGTGGCTCATGGGAAAAAGCGCTAGCCTTGCAAGCTGATCCCTGCTGTTTGCTCTCCCGGAACCCACAGTGGGAGGAAAGGACTTACTTCTGTAAGTTCCTCGTTTACCATCTATAAACATACTGTGGTAATGCCCGTGCTCACCTGTACCCATCATACATGACTTAGGCCATTCTGAGGCTAAACCAAGGCCTTGAGCTTGCCAGGGAAGCATTTTACCAACTCACAGCTACATCCCTGTATTATGGGTTTTTTAAGATAGGATCTTGTCCTATGTCCCAGGCTGTCCTTTAACTCATGATCCTCCTACCTATGCCTCTTAAGGGCTTGGTAGTTATGTACTGTTATTCCTGGCAATCAGTTTGATTTCCATGAATGAATCCAAGGAATGAATGAATGAATGAATGAATGAGTCACGATGAAAGCAAGCATAGCAAGCAAGCATCCATGTCAAGTCTGCATACAGAATTCCTCAGCTGCCCTGTTGACTCATTAGCAGGCCAGAGTTTTCTGTCTCCTTCTCATTCCTTAAACAAACTTCAATCAAGAGCTGCTGGCAGGCACCAGAGGTAGCAAGGAAAAGTGTCCTTGCTTTTTGATCAGGGTCTCTGAAGAGTGATCAGCCACCAGAACAATGAAAACCAGGTGCCTCCCAGTAGGGGTAGGGACATGAAGAAAAATAGGATTACTTACACCCCTCTGAAAATTTCTTTTGACGAAGAAATTTTTTGATGAACAAAACTCTTCTTAGTGTCAGGTATCACCCATTGTTCCTTCCTGGCGTTTTCTCTGCCATCTACTGGCTACAAACTCCAAGAAGAAAGTAAACTGCCTCTTGCCCAGGACTGAGCCAATCAGAGTTTTTCCCTTGGATTTTTATGTATTAATTTTTATATCTTTATATTGCTGTGGATCAAATGCAGGCCTTCACTCACGCCAGAAAAGCTGTCTACTGCTATGTAAGCTACTTGACACAAGCCAGAGTCGGTTTTTGAAGACAGAGAAAATGTCTCCACAAGATTGACCTGTAGGCAAGCCCCGTAGGGCATTTTCTTGATTGATGATTGGTGTGGGAGGGCCCAGCTCACTGTGGGTGCTGTCACCTCCGTGTTAGAGATCCTGGGTGCTGTAAGAAAGCAGGCTTGGGTGGGGGTGGCTGGAGAGATGGCTCAATGATTGGAACCCTTGCTGTTCTTCTCTCTTCTTTTTTTCTTTTTTTAATTTATGTGTGTACACTGTTGCTGTCTTCAGACACACCAGAAAAGGACATTGGATCCCATTCCAGATGGTTGTGAGCCACCATGTGGTTGCTGGGAATTGAACTCAGGACCTCTGGAAGAGCAGTCAGTGTTCTTAACTGCTGAGCCATCTCTCCAGCACACTCTTGCTGTTCTTTCAGAGCATTAAGGTTCAGTTCCCAGCACTTTTGGCTTACAACCATCCATAGACATGAACATTGTACACACACATACATACAAGCAAAATACTTAAGACACATAAAATAAGTAAATCTAAAAGAAGACAGCACAACAGGATGGACAAGTCATGAAGAGCAAGTCAGTAAACGGCACTCCCCCAAGGCCTCTGTATCAGCTCCTGCCTCCAGGTTCCTGCCTTGAATTCTGGCCCAGACTTTCTTTGATGATGGCCCTTGATGTATAAGCCAAAATAAACCCTTTCCTCTCCAAGTTGCATTTGGCCATGGTGTTTATCACAACAACAGAAACTTGAAACTTAAGTAAGACAGCCACAGAGCTAAATTTTTAGCCCTTGTATTTTAAATTTTATTTATAAAAGAATGTTTGGCCGGGCAGTGGTGGCGCACGCCTTTAATCCCAGCACTTGGGAGGCAGAGGCAGGCAGACTTCTGAGTTCGAGGCCAGCCTCGTCTACAGAGTGAGTTCCAGGACAGCCAGAGATACACAGAGAAACCCTGACTCGGGGGAAAAAAAAAAAGGGTTTTTTTTAAACATTTAGTTTTATGTGTCTGTGTGAATATGGCATGTGAATGTAGTACCTACAGAGGCCAGAAGAGGGCGCGATAACCCCCAGAGCTGAAGTTCCAGGTGACGGTCAGCCACTGGATGGGGGTGCTGGGAACTGAATTTAGGTTCTCAGCTTTTTTTGTTTTTGTTTGTTTGTTTTTGTTTTTGAGACATGGTCACGCTGTGTATAACAGGCTGGCCTAAAACTTACCATGTAGAACAAGCTGGCCTCCAGCTCAGAGATCTACCTACCTCTGCCTCCTGAGTGCTGGGCTTAAAGGTGTACACCATCAAGACCAGAGAGCACCACTTGCTCTTAACTGATGAACTATCTCTCCAGCCCAACCCTAGGTTTTTAAATCTAGAGTAGGTAGGGCTTCAGGCTTATCTCATTTGCTTAATATTATTTGAAATATTGTGAAATAAGATATTCACACTGGGAGATAAAACTTCGATCTAGGCTCTCCCTGACAAGGGCAGACTCACCCTTCATCCAGCACATGCTTGGCACACACAGTGCTGACTAGCCTGTCCCCTTCTTTTCAGTAATGTTTAGCCTGCAACAAAGAGAGACGGAGCTGGGGGAGAGGTGGCTCAGTGGTTAAGAGCACTTGCTGCCTTTGCAGAGGACCTGGGTTCTGTCCTCAGCATGCAAATGGCAGCTCACAACCACCTGTAATCCCAGTTCCAGTGGGATCTGACACCCTCTTCTGGTCTCGATAGGCACCAGGCGCTCACATGGTGCACATACATACATACATACATGCATCAAGGCAAAACATTCATGCACATAAAATAAACCTTAAAAAAGATAAGACTCATCACGATCCATGAGACACAATGTATTTATTAAACTCTTCCTTCTACAGGCACCTGAGTGGTGTGTGTTCTCTCTCTCTCTCTCTCTCTCTCTCTCTCTCTCTCTCTCTCTTGCTCTCTCTCTGTTTTGCGCTTTGTTTTTGAGGCAGGGTCTTTTCTTGTTGTTGTTGGTTGGTTGGTTTTTTGAGACAGGGTTTCTCTGTGTAGCCCTGGCTGTCCTGGAACTCACTCTGTAGACCAGGCTGGCCTCGAACTCAGAATCCGCCAGAGACAGGGTCTCATTATGCACCCACAGCTGCACTGGACTTGCCGTGTAGACCAGCCTGGACTTGAACTCACAGTGATCATCCTGCCTCTGCCTCTGGAGTATTGGAACTAAAGGTATGAGCCACCATAGCTGGCTACTCCTTCCTTCCTTCCTTCCTTCCTTCCTTCCTTCCTTCCTTCCTTCCTTCTTTTCTCTCTTTTTAAATGTTATTTTGTTTTAAGATAAGGTCTCATGTAGCTCAAGCTGGCCTTGAATTCACTATGTAGCTGAAGCTGGACTTGAACTCCTGATCTTCCTATGTTGTCTTCCAAGCACTTGAGAACCACAGGAATGCACCATCACACCTGGCTTCCCCAACCCGAACTGCTTAGCCCGGGGTTTGGGGGGGGGGGGGCATAGAGATAGGGTCCAGCCTTGATCTCCTACCTCAGCCTCCTGAGCCAATTACTGGGATTATAGGTATGTACAATAAAACTACACCCAATTCTGGCCCACTTTCCGCTCTCTTTTCTTTGCTCTCTGCTCCAGCTACACTGACTTCAAGTCTGTCCCTCAATCAAGTGACACTGACCTCACCGATTCTAATTCTACAGCTTAAGTTCTACATTTTAGATGAAATGCCCCTCAGCCTGGACACAGCATCTTCATCCTTTCTGCCCAGCTCAAACTGCTCCCCACTGTCTTCCCTTTACTCCCTCCCCTCCCCTCTCTGGTGCCCTTCATAGCCTAACACCACCACCTCTTGAGTAGTTTCTTCTTCCCCCTGCACCCCAGTTGCCTCATTTGGGAAACGTGATGGTAGTCTACCTTGCAGATTCTCTGCGAGCACCCTTACTCTCTGAGCCCTCTTGCTGCGTGAGCCTACAGATCTTATCTATATAAAGAGACATTGTTGCCACTTAACAGATGAGAAAACTGACAGACCTGGGATTCTAACAGTGCAGGCTCAGGGATTCTAGTGTCGATAACCCAGAAAGGCAGGAGAAGAAGGTGGTTAAGTTTGGAGTTGCAAGACTGGAGTTTTTAAATAGTCATGCCATTCCCCGCCCCCCATCCCTCCCCCACAATCAGAATTTACATAGCCAGAATCCATTCGCCCCCTGCTGGCTAAGACTTGAGTTCAGGCTTACGGGAGTAATCATGGTCACCCAGTTACTTCTGGGGGTTGGATAGGTCCAACCTGTGTCCTGAGGCCCAGACCTTGTGTTCGTTCCACCATCTGCAGAGCATTAGGGCTGGGTCTGAAGCCCACAATGCCTACTACAAGTCATTTTCTTAATGTGTTGACCTTTTCTCCTGCCAACCAGTCCCAGGCTCAGACACCCTGTCAAAAGACAGAAAGCGACCCAGCATCCCCAGAACCCCAGCTTTGGGCTGGCTGCTGCTGATCCCTAATCCCGTGTTTTGTTTTGTCCCTAGACTCTTGCTCAGTTGAAATCAGGGCTGGGTTGGGCTTCAGAGCCACAGCATGGAAAGTCCCGCCCCCGCCCCCACCCCCTGCTGGTCCTGGTCAAACATTATTTACCACTAAGCAGGAGTTGCATTGTCCACCCACTCCGACCCCACACTGGCCACTAATCCCTTGAGAATCTGCTTACCGTGTTTCAAGTTGCCCTTCCATTCTCCCACGTAGTGATCTCCGTTCACAGCAAACACTTGGTGTCTCAGTCCATTCTTCTGGGCTTTCCGGTCCCATCCTTTCCACAGCGGCTCTGATTTTCTTGGACACTTGGTGACCGGCATGCTGGCTGCGTCTGTGGTGTTAGGGGGTGCTGGCAGGAGGTAGGGACATCAGGGGCTCAGTGTATCTCGTGTATCCTTGGGATCCTGGCGCTTCCTGGGGAGGTGCCTGTCTGAGTTCCAGTAGGGGAGGTCATGTGTGTTCTGAGTCCCCAGGGCAGGTGAGTAGCCCTCCCTCAGTGGGGATCCTTCTGGGCCGGACTGACTCAGGACAGTTACTTCCCTTGCATTCTTCTGGGATCCATCTGTCGGGGATGTGATGACACAATTCCTTTGGAACCCAGGGAGACCCAATAGGAACTCAGGGTTTGTGATGACACTGGGGAGAAGCTGCCCCTAGGAAAAATGAGCTCACAAACTTAAATCACTAGAAGGACCCATCAGAACGGACTTTGGCAGAAGAGTGAAGTAGGAAGGAAGTGGACATCCCTGGTCCAGCGCCTGCGCTGTTAGCCCTTGCCCGACATACCTGGAAGACTGGACAGATGAAGTTCAGGGGTTGCCTTTCAGCTGAGGAGATCCCACAAACCAAAGAGACTGATTCCACAGTGATTTAACTGTCCCAGACTGAAAGTCTAGCTATACAGTGAGACCTTGTCTCAAAACACAGTAGGAAAGTTCTCAGCTCATGGTTTTCCTTCCGCATCTGAGCCCTATGACTCCAGAGAGAAACTGTGGGTAGCCCAGGGCCTCCTCTCCACATCTGGGAGCCCCCACCAGTGTCCCTCACATCCCCAGACTCTTCAGAAAGGACATTCATGTCTTTTCACCTGTCTCCAATTTGCTCACGGGTGATAAACAACGTTCTTGTGTCAATCCTGGGGTCCCTGTTCTCCCTCAACAAATACGACTCTATACTCCACAGGTTCTGAGGCTATACACATCTACTCCCATTAAATCTTGCACCAGCAGCACATACACACAGGCGCTGCCAATCAAAATACCCTCAGGTTCAAGCCAGTTCCTGGAGATCATGGTATCTCAGCATCCACCCACAGAGTCAGCCTCAAAAACATGTGCTTTAGGTTGGACACTGTGCCTGCCACCTGTGCAAGTCATACAGCCTCTGTCCCCACAGAAGGGATCACTTTTGGTTCATGCCTTGTTGTTTACCCTATTTTGAAAAAAAAAAACAAAACCAAAAACAAAACCAAAACAAAAAACAAAACAAAAGCCGGCCAGTGGTGGCACACACCTTTAATCCCACACTTGGGAGGCAGAGGCAGGTGGAGAGTTTGAGGCTAGCCTGGTCTACAGAGTGAGTTCCAGGACAGCCAGGGCTACAGAGAAACCCTGTCTCGAAAAACCAAAAGAAACCAAAAAAAAAAAAAAAAAACAAAAAACAAAAAAGACCCACTTTTTAAAATTTTTTTTTTTATTTTTTTTTTTCGAGAGAGGGTTTCTCTGTGTAGCCCTGGCTGTCCTGGAAATTACTCTGCAGACCAGGCTAGCCTCAAACTCAGAAATTTGCCTGCCTCTGCCTCCCAAGTGCTGGGATTAAAGGCGCGCACCACCACCGCCCAGCCCCCACTTTTTTTTATATGGAGGCTCGCTATGGCTCTGTAGCCCTGGCTGACCTGGAACTCCACATATAGACCAGGCTAGCCTAAAATTTGCATTGTTCTTCTTTTGTCCTGAGTGCTGAGATAACAGACATGTATCACTACACTGAAGTTCATTTATTCATCACTCAATCATTCATTCATTCTCTCTGCCTCTCTCTGTTTCTGAAAGGGTTTCATGTAACACAGGTTAGACTGGAACTCCCAATGTAGCTGAGAATGACTTTGTTTCTTTTCCTTTTTTGAACCAGGGTCTCATGTAACCCAGGCTGGCCTCAGACTCACTATGCAGGATCCCAAGTGCCGGAATTGCAAGCACTAGCCATCACATTTGGTTTTTACAGTGCTTAACCCAAGCCCCGGGGCTTCATGTATGCTAAGCAAGCACTCTATTTACTGGTCCTTAGGCAGTGGTCTTAACCGCCGAGCCATCTCTCCAGGCCCATACACAGTCAGGTCTCCACATGCCCTTTAATTTTTGTGTAAACATCTGGATTCCTAGGGGGCCTCAGACAGAGAATGGGAAACTTGAGAGGGGAACCTTGGCATGGAAGGCTTCACTGCTGGCAGAATCCTGGGGCTACCAATCTGCATTTGCAGTGTCTTTACATGTCCTTTGAAAACAATCTTTTTTTGTTTGTTTGTTTGTTTGTTTGTTTTGAGACAGGGTTTCTCTGTGTAGCCCTGGCTGTCCTGGAGCTCACTCTGTAGACCAGGCTGGCCTCGAACTCAGAAATCCATCTGCCTCTGCCTCCCAGGTGCTGGGATTAAAGACGTGTGCCACCACCGCCCGGCCTTCAAGAACAATCTTGGCAGTATCTTTCCTCTCTGAAAAGCACCCCTGCTCTGGCCACTGTTCTCAGTAAAGATGACAGGGGCCATGTGTTTTTCTATTTCTCACTGCACCTAGTACCCTCACCTAGTAGGTTCTCAACTAAGGGCAGAGAGTTGCTGGGAGGTGTAATGCAACCTGAAAACCTAAGTTCTGGAAAGCTGAGGCAGAGGAATCACCAGTCTGAGGTCGGCTTGGGAGTGAGACCCTGTCTCAAAAAAACAAACAGAAACCAGAGAAAGGAGAGGATGGCCCAGTGGTTAAGAGCAGCACTTGCCACGCTTTGTGGAGGACCTGGTTCGATTCCCAGCGCTCAGATAGCTGCTCACAATGCGTGTAACTGCAGTTCTAGGGAATCCAATAGCAACGAGTTCTGCACAGAAATACATGTAGGTGAAACACCCATACACATAAAATTTAAAAGTAAAATAAATGAGAGATGAGCAAAAGTTAAGTGAGGTATTGGTGCCATAGCCACCCAAGTGACAACGTGTTCTTGCTTAGAATTGTAAGAGAACTCTGCACTAGGCTCCAGTGACCCAGAGGCGTCAATAGGCATTACTGCTTCATCTGTGTTATCAGAGATTCAACTCTTTCCTCCACTTTTCAGAACTTAAGGAGAGGCTCAAGTGGACGGGAAACAAAAGGCTTGCAAGCCTGCGCAGGTTTTGTTTCTTAAGAACGCAGGAGAGCTCTGTGGACACTGGAGGAGGGGGGACAGACAGCTGGGGTCGTTCCCGAGATCCAGCCCCTGCATCCACCTGGCTCACCTGTAACTGCAGCCTCGGGCTTCACTCTCAGCTGCGAGAGTTGTGAGTCTGGGCCCAGGGAGGTTGTTATGGCAACACCAAAGCTGACTGGCAGTGCCCGCCTCTTCCTGCAGAGGCAGGGTAGCGGGAAATTTTAAAGACAGACAAAGTCCCATTTGTTCTTCGTCTTAGGACTGCTTTGAGTATCTGGAGACCGTCTCCGTGGAAGTTGGATGGCATACATATTACAGATGCAAATTCGTGCTCTGCTTGCAATGCTTTGAAGATCCTGAAATACCTGCCTAGGCCCTTCACTTTTCTCTTTGTCCTGTCCCCCTAAGCCTCCCCATTCAGCCTCTACTGGAGCGACTACACACTTGCTTCTCTGGTATTCCTGGAAAGTGCGCCATGTTCCTGCCGCAGGCCTTCGGCTCTTTTGGGACAGCCGCCAAGACATCTCTTCCTCCACTGCAGAGCGTGGATCTTGCCTTCCTTCCCGTCAGAGGTTTGTTCAGACGTCAGCTTCTCACCCAGGAGTTCTCAGAACCGCCCTGTTTAAAATAGAAATCTCCGAGTGTTTCATTCCTGTTTATTCCGTTTAAGCACTTAGCACGGGCTGCCATCTGAGCCCTCCCTCACCCGCTCATCCCCCAACCCACTATCGTTATTGTACGTCTTTAAAGACAAAGTTGTTGTTTTTTTTTCTTCCATTCTCAGGGTTGTTTTGTTTCGTTTAAAGACATGGTCTCACTACGTAGCCCCGGCTGTCCGGGAACTCATTATTTAGATCTGGCTGACCTCACCAGAGATCCGCCCACCTCTGCCTCCCGAGGGTTGATATGAAAGGCAACCTCACTTTCAAAAACAAAGAAACGAACAACCACAACAAACCTCTCAAACGTAAAAAGAAAATGAAAGGGAGGCCGGTGAGGTGGCTCGGTGGATGAAGCCACCCGCTGCCAAGCCTGATAGATCCCTAGCGCACACTGCGCTGCGGGAGGAGAGAGCCGACGCCAGCACGTTGTGTCTGACCTCCACAGGGCACACGCGCACATGCACACGCAGAAGAAAAGTTTTAAACACTCAGGAAAACGTAGCTGAAACAAACACCGGCGACTTCCTCTTCCTGCACTTAACCCGCGCTGCCATTCTGCCTAATCTGAAAACAGACAAGGTTTTGTAGGTTTTTATCGTTGGAACTCAGAGAGATCTACCTGCCTCTGCCTCCAAGGGCTGGGGTCATAGGCGTGAGCCAAGACGCCTCTCTCATTCCGCCATCAGCCTGTTCATGCTCTTGTTGAAAAAGCGACCGGCTCTTTACATCACGGTGTCTTTTTTTTTTTAAGACAGAGTTTTTCGGCTGTAGTCCCAACTGCCCTGGAACTCGCTTTGTAGGCTGCCCTTGAACTCGCAGAACTCCACTTGCCTCTACCTCACCCCAAAATAGGATTAAAGGCCTGTGACACCACCGCCCCCCCATCACTGTGATTTTAATTACTTGCAGAAATTAACTGTTTCCAAATTCCTATCTCAAGTACTCAGTTGGCCCAGCTAGCTTCTAGAGCCTGCGCTGGCTGACTCTGGTTCTCCTCACAGCATGCTGCTTTTCCCTTCAGGCACCTGGCCAGCAGCTGGGTACAAACTGTCCTTTGGCTGGTGGCCCTGCCCCGAGCCTCCTTGCCACCTGCTGAGCGGCAGCTTCATGTCCTTACCCTTTGTAGGCCAGACGACATTCCAACGTGCTGCATCTCAGTTCCTCACTGCGAGTGGCACGTTTGTACAGTTTTTAATAAAATTTGGAGGAAGCTAGGTCTGCCTGGAAGAGAAAGATCTGAACTATGCATAGTTTATCTGTATTACAATCCAGCCACAGGGGCAGGCTGTAAGCATATGAGATTGTTCTCCATATGGGGTCAAAATCTGGTTGCATTTTTTTTTTTCAGAGTTGAGGACCGAATCCAGGGCCTTGCACTTGCTAGGCAAGAACTCTACCACTGAGCTAAATCCCCAGCACCCTGATTGCATTTTTAAGAGATTTATTTATGGCCGGGCAGTGGTGGCGCACTCCTTTAATCCCAGCACTTGGGAGGCAGAGGCAGGCGGATTTCTGAGTTCGAGAGTTCGAGGCTAGCCTGGTCTACAGAGTGAGTTCCAGGACAGCCAGGGCTACACAGAGAAACCATGTCTCGAAAACCTAAAAAAAAAAAAAAAAGAAAAGAAAAAGAAAAAAAAAGAAATATAAAGAGATTTATTTATATGTATGTCTGTGTACCATGTGAGTGTAGTGTCCATAGAAGCCAGAAGATGTCAGATCCCCTGGAACTGGGAATACAGACAGTTGTGAGCCACCATGTGGGTGCTGGGAATGGAATCCTGGTCTTCTGGAAGAGCAGCCATTGATTGCTCTTAACCAGTGAGCCCCAAAGGCATTTTTCACAAGCCCGTGAGTAGGTTGCTTGGACTGGCCAGTCAGTATATGACTTTTGCAAGCATTCATCTCAAATGCCCTTCTGTTGAAGACTTTTAATTTTTTTATTTTATGTGCTTGAGTGCTTTGCCTGCCTATGTAAAATGCACCCCATTCCTGTCTACTTACGGCAGAGGCCAGAAGAGGGTGCCAGATACCCTGGAACTGGAGTTACACCTCCTTGTAAGCCTCCATATTGGTGCTGGGAACCAAACCTCGGTCCTCTGTAAGGACAGCAAATGCTCTTCACCTGGAAGCCCTCTCTCCAGCCCTTAAATACCTTCATGACAATCACTTGCCGGATCTGCAAGGTGAGGATTTGACTAGACTCTTCTAGAAGACTTCATTTACAGCTTGAGAAAAGGGTGTTTCCATGGATGTGAAGTGAGAAAGGCTCCCACACACACCACACGTAAATAAGTGTTTCCTCGGGGAGGCGTGATCCTGTAGACATTAACCCACTCCAAAGTTTTGGCTTAAGTCTGGATGATCTGTCCTAGCACAGAAACCCAAGACCTCATTCAGAATTGTCCAGAGTCAGTGGGTGCCGCTCACATTAAGTGTGCAGCATGACTTGACATGGAGTGTGGGGTTTCCTGTATCAGAATAACCTTGGTTTCAGCCTTCCCAGAAGTACCAGGAAAGACCTACCTGTCTGGACCAGCCAGTCTCGTTGAACACAATGGACAGAAGGTGGAAACAGCCCAAGTATCCATCAATGGGTGAACGCATAAACAAAACACAGTTTGTCTGTACAATGGAATATTATTTGGCTGTAAAATGAACAGAGTCATGATGTTACACGTACTGCAACGTGGATGAAACTTAAAGACAGAACGCTGGGCGAAAGCGCTGGTCACCATAGGACACCTTATGTCATCCCTGTTCATTTGAAGAGTCCATAAAGGGCCAATCCATCCACACAGAGAGTAGATTAGTGGGTGTCGGGCAGTAACATCTAGTGACCACAAGTTGTTGATTTTGTGCTGTTCATTTGTGTGTTGACAGAGTCTCACTGTGCAGTCCCAGAGGGCCTGGAACTTGTTATGTAGACTAGGCTAGCCTCAGTCTCATGACATCAGCCTACTTCTGCCCTCCGAGTGCTGGCATTAAAAGCATGTGCCACTGTGCCAGGTCTCCAGCTCTCTATGCGGCTGCACATGCCCTTGGGATTCTGATCCCTCTGTCCCAGCTTCCAGGGTGGTGGGATCAGAAATATGTAACAGGCCAGGCTTATTGGGACTTCTCTTTTAGGGGTGATAAAATTGTTCTAAAGTTGACTGTGATGATGGTTTCACAAATCTGTGAGAAGACTGAAAACCAACCGTATGCTTTAAATGAGTGAAGTTTATAATATATGAATTATATCTCAATAAAGCTGTTTCTCAAGTCTTTGGTGCAGAAGGAGCGCCCTCTAGAGGCTCTCAGAGGTTTGGTTTGGTCTTGGGACAGGAACTCACTGTGTAGCACCAGGCTGCTATACAACGGAAATAGGTTTGTCTATCTTTGCCTCCTGAATTCTGGGATTAAAGGCATGCATTCCCTGTCGTTTTTTTTTTTTTTTTTTTTTTTTTTAATGGTGGTAAGCATAGAACCAAGAGCTGTTTACAGGTTAAGACAGCTACAATTGAGCTGCATCCTGGATCTTCCTCCTTCCTTTTTGAGGTGTATTACTAAAAAACAAAAAAAAAATCACAGAAATATTGAAATAATAGTTTCTGGGCTGGGCTGGGATGATACATGCCTTTAATCCCAGCACTCAGGAGGCAGAGGCAGGTGGATCTCTGAGTTCGAGGCCAGCCTGGTCTATAGACGGAGTTCCAGGACAGCCAGGGCTACACAGAGAAATCCTGTCTCAAAAAATAAAACAAACAAACAAACAAAAAACCTAACAATAATCCAGCGCAGTCTTGGTTTTGTTTTTGAGACATTGGCTTTGTAGGCCAAGCTGGCCTGGAACTCCTGAATCTACTGAATGCTAGGGTTACAGGTGTGTACTGCGTCTCCCCGCCCCCCGTAATTGTAATTGTCTTTCCGCTGAGGATGAACTCTGGGACCCTGGGTATGCTAAGTGCTACGTGTTCTACCAGTGAATCCCAGTCCAAGCCGTTGTTTAACTTTCTACTGAATATGAGAGTAGAATTTTTTTTTTCCTGACAAGGTTTCACACAGTCCACACTAGGCTCAAACTTGTTTTACAGTTGAGGATGATCTTAAACTCCTGACTCTCCCGTCTCCACCTCCCAAGTGTTTGGATTGCAGCTATGCACCAGCATTTGCTTCAGTTCATTACCTCTGGGGAAAACCTACTCTCCCTGGGACTTTTTCTTTCAGGATCCACGTCAGACGTGACTCTTCTGAGTTCCTTTGCAACTCTGTGCGCCACCTCCTAGTAAGTCTGTAGATTTCTTCTTCTTCCTATCCCCCATTCCTTTCTTTATTACTAATCTCTGTGGTGCTGGTGCTATGGGATCCGGCAGACTCAGAACACTCCTTTATCTTAGAAAGTTCTACTCTGCAGAACTGCTTTAGAGGGATGAGCTTTGTCTGGGAACCTCCATCCCTTTTCCATCTGTTTGTGGCTCGCTCTCTCTCTCTCTCTCTCTCTCTCTCTCTCTCTCTCTCTCTGATGGGATCTCAAATAGCCCAGGATGGCTTTGAACTCACTATATAACCAAGGTCGAATTTTTGAACTTCTGCTTCCTCTCGGCTCTAACTCCTAAATGCTTCGATTACAAAAGTCAGCCTCCACCATGCCCGGCCTCTCCCACATTCTAAAAAAAAAAAAAAAAGTCAGCAAAACCTTCAAAAGCCAAGAATGATTGTCTACAGGAGATTACAGGGTCCAAAAACAGTCATTAGGCAAAGCAATAAGCCTAATAAGTTATCCCAAGGGAGGAAAAATGCATGGCCTCAACAGCAATTAAAGAAATGAAAGTTAAAGTGACCTTGCCATGCTATTGCATACTGTCTAGACTAGAGAAAGTACAGAAAAAGAATGGGCCATAATGATGACTACCCTTTGGTCTGAGAGACCATTACACACCTGGCCACTCTTGCAATTAGGTAAACCCTGAAAAGGAACTTTCTGGAAGCCTGCAGCTGGGCAGTACTGCTATCTCCTGAGTGAAGAATGCCACTTATGGACTACTACAGTATAAACATAATATACTATAGTATATGATATAGTTATATACTCTATAATACATTACGGTATAATCTATAATTAGAAAGAGCGATAATATTTTGCACTTACATGCAGTGGTGGCATACACCTTTAATCTCAGCACTCAGGAGGCAGAGGTAGCCTGGTCTACAGAGCGAATTCCAGGGCAGCCAGGGCTGTCACACAGCGAAATCCTATCTTGAAAAAAAAAAAGAACAAAAACAAAAAAAAAGGCAAAACAAAATAAAAACCACAACCAAACAAACCAAAACAATAACAACAATAACAGCACACACTATTCTTGCTGAGGACCCAGGTTTGAGTCTCAGCACCCTTGTTGGGTGGCTTACAACTGACTATAACTCTAGCTCTC